TGAGAGTACCAGCAGCTTGGGGCTGTAAACATAGCTTCCGGATGACACATCCCTAGGGGGACTGATCATACAGTTTCTATATTATTCAGCTTGTCACCCTACCAGCACATAACTGATTTTTGCCTCAGAAAATGTCTCTTTCCTGAAATTCCAGCTGTCCTTCATTCAAAAAGCAATGTTTTAATAAGGTGGTTGTTTGCTACAAAACAATAATAGTGCTAATAATGAATCACTAACAGCATAGCATATTCCTTACCATGGATGGTCTACATGATGCTAAACAGCTGGAGGAAAAGTGGGGGAAAATGCAATCAAGCATTTAAACATCATCACTGGATGTTTCCAAACAGAAGCTTCCAGATGTTTAGCATTGTGGAAGTAATGTTTGATTGCCTGCCCTTTTCATATTTTATCTGGGTCTTTTGATGTTCTTTAGATGGAGTCTTGGACTCTTCTTCCTTTTCAGTATCCTGAATAGTTTTTCTGATCATAAATGGCAACAGCAATGTTGAAAACTAGCAAAGGCCAAACCTGGCAGGAATTGTTTGAGATAAGGAAGAAGAGACTTGGACTGTGGTTAAATGGGTCCCTCTCCTGGCTAATGTATATGGAAGCATGCAATTTCTAAGGGAATATTTGAAGCAGTTTCAGTTTTCAGTTAAAATATATGTACGAATTAAGAAGCTTAGTAAAGGGACCGTATTTTCCCTGAGATCCAGAGGCTGAATAATAAGAAACTTCCTTTGGATATTCAATTCAAAGAAAGAAGACAGTCTAATATGCTGTTGAGTATACAGGCTTAAAATGAATCTGATCTTTCTAGTAGAGCTGAAGTAGAACTGTTTCTTTTTTCAGATTGATGTTTTATCATGCAAAATTAAAAGTCTAGAATAAATTGAGTTTTAGCCCCCCCCCCCATTTTTTAAGGATCTCAGATTATCATACCAAAATTAACTCCTGCTTCCCACTGTACTTCTCTCACATATCAGTTATTGGAACTTAGCATAAAAGTCATTGCCAAATGCTCTGCTAATTTAAAACCGTGAAAATTAATGATCTCATCAAAGATGGCTCAGTTTCAGAATGGGATTCATAGGTCTTGGTGCTAAAATAAATACCAATTCCTACCTAAGAGTGAAAGAAAAAAAATAGTCACTTACTGACATGTCCCTGCAAGAATGGAGGAGCCAAGAAAAACTTGGGTATGTTACTAACTCAGCTTGTTCACTGATTCAAGATGACTGGTTAAAGAGCACTGTGTACTGATGATGACTCTGTGGCATGAGGGACAATGTCATCATTAACATGTGGGACTGCTTAGCATTTAGAACACTTCACACATAAAGTGAAGTTAACACAGGACTATTTATGTGCTTTAGACAGATGGTTTAATGTTTCTTTAGCCTTCAGTCTATGAGGCCACCCGTGGTTTTCTTCAGCCAAAGGCTTTTAAAAAATAATTGATCTGCAGCCATTTTCTAACAAGTCCGACTGCAATATATTTCCCTAAGTCTTTCTCTCACCCTTAACTATCCCTTATGATAGTTTGTGACTGACAAACCTCCCTGACACTGATTCCCCACATTTAAGTAGCTATGGACATAAAAGGAGATGAAGGGAATGAAATATCATCATTAATAGTTTCTTTGCTATAGAAAAGCTATTCAGATGATTACTTTGGAAATTGATTCTCCTCTGATTAGACATTGCCTTGCTCTGGAGAAACTGTTGCCCCAAAAGCCTTCAATACACGCAATGACAACCCAGCACAGATAGATAACTGTGTGGCAAGGATGCATTACACTGAGCATATATGTTCATATCAAATGGTAAAGGAGAAGAGCAACTGTACCTCTGAAGAAGAGGTAAAAGGTACCAGCTTAGGAGGGAATAAAGAGGCTGCAGATCCCCTGATCTTACTATCAAAGCAATAGAGTAGTTACCTGGGTGAATCAAGCAGGACATATTTGTATAGTGCAAACTTTCTGTGGGCTCTTAATGACCCCCTACACGGCTCTAGCCTCTCTTCATCTCTCCAGGCCCTTTTGTGAGTCTTTTTAGGGGAGCAACGTGACCCAGTAGTTTGGGGACTCCTGAGATTGGCCTGAATGGATGCTTATTTGCATTCTCTTGTCTATATAACCACCTCCATTGGGGTTCTACAGAAGCATGTTTAGGCCTGGGGCAGAGAAAAGCAATTACACAGCAGAGAGGATTTAATGATTAGATGTGTTTAAGGGAGCAAGTGTCTCCTGACTGCACATTCCCACTCTGGAGGGCTTGAGAGGTCTGAAGTCTAAGCACAGATCTTGCCATTGGCTTTTCTCTTTGAGGAACAAAGATGACTTTCTGGAGACTCAGATTTCCTGGTGACACTTTACAAGGGGTTGGGCTGGAGTACTTGCTGCTTATCTGGCCGTTACTAGTGACAGACTCTTGCACCAAAACTGTCATTTCCTCACATATGAGGAAGAAGCCCTGTGCACCGTCATCGATGTTCTCTCTGACCACGTTTTCTTTAATTCCCAGAGCAAGGTGCCTAGCCAGTTCTGACTTATGAAGCAATTCAACAGCTCTCTGCTTTGGGTGCCCGAGGGTGACAGGCCGCTGACTGTCGCCGATGTAGGCCTGGACCATTAGCAACGATGTGGCCAGGCCCCTCGGTGTGTGCTGGTGTTCGACGTGGTCAGCTTCTCACAGGAGCAATTCTGGCTGATGTATATGGCGGTGGAGGTGAGAGACGTTAGCGACCACGTGTAGTGCTTCCCCAGGGCCCAGATTCCAGTGGAGGTGTCCGAGGGAGCCACAGTGGGCATGCACATCCCACTGGAAGCGCCATTGGCTTGTACCATTGGACGAGGACGTGGCCATGACAACGCAGCATAGATGGATAACTGTGTGGCAAGTGTCATTGGACGAGGACGTGGGTGCCAATGGGCTGCAGAGTGTGCCACTAGCTGAGCCACACAGCCCGTTCCAAGCGGAGCTGCAGATGTGTGTTGGCGGTGCCCAATGCGTGAATCAGGTGCTGTTGCAGGAGCTGGACTGCGAAAGTCAGGCTGCTTACAGCCTGGATCTAGTGGCCTGGCCCAGGAGGGGGGCCGCTGGTCGCGGTCTGCCATCGCAACTCTTCAGCGTGAGTGTGCTGGACGCCAGCGACCACAGCCCAGCCTTCCCTCAGGGAGCGGTGGAGGACGCCCCTGTGGGCTTATTGTTTCTGGACCTGGACGTGGCGGACCCCCACGAGGTCCCCGTGGCGGGTGTTCTCCTTCAGTGCTTGCAACCCACCCAAAGTGAGCCGCCTCTTGCGCCTCGACCCGGGCTCCCGTCGCCTCATCCTAGCGGGTCCTGTGGATTGCGAATGCCAGGACACCTATGATCTGGACGTGCAGGTGCAGGACTGCGGCCCTGGTCCTCGGGTGGCCACCTGCAAGGTCTTCGTGCTCATCCGTGATGTCAATGACAACGCTCCAGACATCGCTGTCACTCCGCTTGCTACCCCGGGAGAACCAGTCACCTCGTCCTTCACCGCTGCCGCGCTCCGGAAAGCAGATGCGACCTTGTCAGCGGGGCTGGGGCTCTCCAGGCCTGCGCAAGCAACTTCTTTGGCGCCTAAAGGGTGTGCGCGCGAGAGCTCAGTGATTCTGGTCAGCACGTCGGACAGGGACTCGGGTTCCAACGGGCAGGTGCACTGCGCCCTCTATGGGTACAAGCACTTCCGACTGCAGCCGGCCCTTTTGGGTAACTAGTTGGTGGTTACTTAGACGCTGCTGGACAGAATGCATATCACAGAGTACTACCTGTTGGCTGGTGGCAGAGGACCACGGCTCGTCCCCACTGCTCGCCGTGAAGCCGTACAGCGTGCATGTGGGCGACGAGAACCGACAGCGCGCCTGTCTTCACACAGCCAGTCTATGAGATGTGGGTGCTTGAGAACAACCTGCTTGGTGCCTACCTGGCTATGGTGATCGCCTGGGATTCCGGACCTGGGCCACAATGGCCAGGTCACCTACCGCTGTTGGAAGACTAGATGGGCCGCGCCAAGGACTCCATATCCATCCATGTCTCCTTCGACATAGTCACTGGAGAATTGCGCGCTCGACGGTGCTTTGACAGCGAGGAGCTGGCTGAAATGAAGCTGGTACTGGAGGCGCTAGATGGCGGCTTTCCAACGCTACAGCAGTGCGGTTGCAGGTGGAAGACCAGAACGACCACACGCTCCACCCGGTGGCCCCGATGCTCTTCGATGGCTCAGCCCAGCTACCTCTGCCCCGAGGCGTGCCTTTAGGCTACCTAGTGACAAAACTGCAGGCAGAAAACGAGGACGAAGGCTTCAACGTAGAGCTGGCTCACAACCTCCTCTGCAGTGACAGCAGTTTCCGGCTTTTAGCACTGCACCTGGTTACCCGTGAACTGTCCCTGCAGCACCACCTGTCCTTTCAGCCCTCTGGCCCGCTGACCGCGGTCGTCTAGATGAGATGGAAGCAGGCCTATCATATCTTGCACCGCCACTCAGCTTTTAGTGCCCACGGATCTAGTGCCACCTGGCGGAAAAGTGCTGCTGGTGCTGCCGCCACCGCCGCCGCCACCGCCGCCACTAGAGAGAGCAGAAGGACCAGTCTGGAGAAACACTGCTCAGGGAGCAGCAAGGCAATCTGAGCTCTCCATAGTGTGGGTCGGTGCTTGGGCCAGTGGCTGTGGTCTTTTGCTAGTGGCCATAGTCACTGTGACTTGTTCCTGCAAGGGAGAGGGTAGGACATGGAGGAATAGGCTTTGTGAGCACTGCCCAAGTGGGTATCAGACGAGAAGTGACCAAGCTGGCCCAAGTTGCAGAGTGTTAGGAGCTGACTCCCAGGGCTTCAACTTGAGGTTCTTCATGGGGTCATGGCCGCCTTCCATTCTGAAGCACTTCAGATGAGGGATGCAGGGCCCTCTCTGTTAGTTTCCATATCTAAGGGTGAAATATTATTAACTGCTACTCTCCTCTCTTTTTAAATAGGGTTTATTCTCAGTTCAGAGGTCCAGGGTGTCGGGTCTGCAGGAATTTCCAGGAGTGGGGGTAGCGGAGCATCTTTGTGTTCCTCTCCTGGGGAGAGGACCAGAATCTCACAGGCTCAGGTAGAGCACATTTCAGCTCTCTTATTGTCCTCATTAACTCCGCCCCCCCCCCAGATTTTGTTTCTTTTCTTTCTGTTTTATTAGTTCTTTCTTTTTATTAATTATACATGACAGTGGAATCCGTTTTTATAAAATTATGCAAGCATTGAATATATATTATTTTAATTAGAACCCCATTCTTGTAGTTGGGCACGATGGTGGGTTCACTTAGGTATGTTTTACATGTGTATATAGGAAAATTATCTCAGATTTTCCTACTATCTATTTTATTCCTATCCCCCACCCTTCCTTTCTTTCTCCTTTGTCTAATCTACTGAACTTCTCTTTTCATCCCTCTTCCCCTTTATTGTGCCTTAGCTTTCACATATCAGGGAAAATATTGAATCTTTGTTTTTTTTGGGGGGGGGATTGGCTTATTTCACTTAGCATGATAGTATCCAGATCCACCCATTTACTGGCAAATATCATAAATCCATTCTTCTTTATGGCTGAGTAATAGTTCATTGTGTATATGTACCACATTTCTTTATACAGTCATCTGTTGATGGGCATCTAGGTTATTTTCATAGCTTAGCTATTGTGAATTGTGCTGCTATAAACATTGATGTGGCAGCATTACTATAGTATGCTGATTTTAAATCCTTTGGATATATCCTGAGGAGTGAGATAACTAGGTCAAATGGTGGTTCCAGTCCTAGTGGTCTTTTTTAAAAATAATTTTTAGTTGTGAATAGAGCTTTATTTTACTTATTTATTTATATGTGGTGTTGAGAATCAAACCCAGTGCCTCACACGTGCTAGGCAAGCACTCCACCACTGAGCCACAACCCCAGTCCATTCCTAGCTGTTTTGAAAATCTCCATACTGCTTTCCAGAGGGGCTGACCAATTTGCAGTTCCTCCATCAATGTATGAGCATTTCCTTTCCCCACATCCTCCCCAACATTTTTTTTTTGTTATATGTATTCTTGATAATTGCCATTCAGACTGGAGTAAGATGAAATCTCTCTGTAGTTTTAATTTGCATTTCTTTAATTGCTAGATATGTTGAACATTTATTTCATGAATTGGTTGGCCATTTGTATTTCTTCTTTTGAGGATTGTCTGTTTAGTTTCTTTGCCCATTTATTTGATTGGGTTATTCATTTTATTTGGTGTTAAGCTTTTTGAGTTCTTTGTATATCCTGGAAATACATTCATATTGTGGGGGGGATCGTCTTATGAAAATTTGGTGCTGATCACATTTGAGACTTCAAATGGCTAATGGGGCGGGGGTTAAAGAAGAAAAGTGCTCCACAGATGAGGGAAGAAGGGGCCCTGACAGTCAGATGTTGGTGTAGGCCCATGTCTGTTCTCTTTTTTTGCCCATGACAATTTCCCTTGGGTTGGATGCAGTCCTCCCTCAGGGTTAATGCTGCCATCCTGAAGCACTTCAGATGAGGGATGCAGGGCCCTCTCTGTCAGTTTCCATATCTAAGGGTGAAATATTATTAACTGCTACTCTCCTCTCTTTTTAAATAGGGTTCATTCTCAGTTCCTTTTTATTCCCCAACCCTTTACCGAGACGATAAATCTGCTGCATGTTTAAGGTAATTTCAGAATATTTATCGTTATCTCTAAGCAATGTGTTTGACAATTTTGAACACCCTTTTTTATGGATAACAAAGTAATTCTTCCCTTTTCACTATCAGGACACATCCACATCCAGATGAATTTAGTGTGAAGGACAGTGGAGAAGGAGACAGAGGATTGAATGACAGCAGTTCTGATATCAGTAGAGAGGGCTTCAAGAAAGCATCCTACCAAATGATTGCAAAGCAAGGGGGTAGGTTCAAACCTGTGACTTCCAATCTCTTCCTCTCAAAGTCATTGTCATACTTATATGAATCACTGAAAAATAAACTATACAAGTGGCCCATCTGTACATTCATAGAAGGCAGTGCCTCAGGCATTTCATGTTACTGTAATAAGGTACCCTAGACTGGGTAGCTTAAACAACAAACACCTATTTCTCATAATAGATAAAGTTCATAGGGGTCAGGATTTCATTTGCTGGGAATATATGAGTATATGTCTTTGTTTGGTTTTACTTTGCTTGGAGAATTCCGCACCAACACAACCTCATGCTATTTGGTTTATCTGCTGTCTTATTTTGAGGTTTTGTTCCCTGGAAATGCCCATTCTGTAAATGGTCAAATTCTCTCTGATGGTGTCTGGTTCTGGGATGGAGCTTCTTAGGGAAAGGCATTATCGATTATGAGTTTTTATGTTAGTTTGCATGACAATGCAACCTGTTCTCTGTGTAAGAAATGGCCTTGATCCTCTTTGCAGATCAGCACCTGTGTCTCAACACTACAAAGTCTTCTCATTTAAAACAAGATCCCTAATTCTTCTCAAGGTGTCCCAGTTACTACTGTTAGCCCCAAACATAGTGACTTAAAATAATAATTTTGTTATGCTCATGGATTCTGTGGGTCAACTTGGACAAGACTCAGAAAAGATGGTTTGTCTCTATACTCCAATGTGTTTGGGGATTTAGCTGAGAAAATTTGATGGCTAGAGCTAGAATCATCTGAAGGTTTATTTCATTACATAATGGGTATGTGAACTGAAATGACTCAAAGTCTAAAAAAGGGGATGAGGGAGAGGAAGGGAGGATCGTGTTCTATTTACTTGACTTCCAACTTACAACATGGCAGCCTCAGGAAAGTCACATGGCAGCTCAGGGCTGCAAATCTGAATGATCCATCCAATAAGACAGAAGTCACATATTCTTTAATGACTCAGATCCTGAAATGACACTGTCATTTCTATTAATTTCCATCATGTTCTACTGGTCTAAGGAATCTTTATTTTATTTTATTTATTTTTTTGTACCAGGGATTGAACCTCAGGGTGCTTAACCTCTGAGACATATCCCCAACCCTTTTTAAATATTTTATTTAAAGACAGGGTCTCACTGCTTTGCTTAGTGCCTTGCTAAGTTGCTGAAGCTGTCTCTGAATTTGAAATCATCCTGCCTCAGCCTTTTGAGCAGCAGGGATTACAGGCATGTCCACAGTGCCCAAGTTGGTCCAAGCAATCTTAAACCCATCCCGGATTTGACTCTACTTCTATACTGAAAACTTTTCAAAGAATTTTGGGGAGTGTTTGTAAATCAATCAAACATGACCTAGAAAGTCCCACATTATCTAATCCCTGGTTGCTTCTCACACCTGATTTGTTCTCACTCTTTCCCTTGATAATTTATATCAACGTTTTGACTTTCTTGTCTGTTGAATACACCAACAGACCTAAGGGCCTTGCTGTTCCCTTAGCTTCCCCTACATATCCACATTGTTTATCCCCTGCCTTTGTTTAGGCCTTTGATCAAATGTCTATCTACTCAAAGAGATCTTCCATACCTCAGATTTCCTGTCCTCCTGACACTCTCCATCCTCTTTATCCAGCTTTGTTTTCCTTCATAACATTTATCATTACTGACATCAAATATATACTCAAAATAAAACAAAAGCAACACATTTACTGGATGGATGAATGAAAGGTGCATGCTAACCAGCAACTCGAATGACAACTTCGTAGGATCATAATTGTATTTTAGGTTAGGGTAGTCTTGTGTTGGTGTCTTTCTTTGTTTTTTGAAACGCCATTGGACCCCTGTACTTTCTGGAAAACTTTAGTGTCACCTTAAAAAACGTTTTAAAATATTTTTAAAAGATTTTAAAATGAATATATTATCCTGGATCATTTAATGTTAAATTAACTATTTTAGAATATCAAATAACTGGAACTCCTACTGTTTATTATTGTCTTAACTTACCAACTTATTCTTGTCTTAATTCAGCTTCCGCTTCCTAACATTATAAGCAAACCTTCTGGGTCCATGATAGCTCAAGGTGCTTCAGTGGCAGACAATAATGTGGTCAAGGCAATGTGTTCAGTCTGAGAGGATATAGTTTCTTGGTAATAACAATCACATTTCCTCTTACAGACAGGAACCTTTTACTTATTTAATAATCATTTGCATATCACTTTCTGTATGCCAGGAATTGTTCTGGTTGCTTTTAAAATATTACCTTACTTAATAATTCCTACGACAATGCTGTTAAATAGGTACTATCATTGAACCCTATTTCACAAATGGGGAGACTGAGACAGAGATGTGGGAGTAATTTGGTCAATGCTAGGGAAGCTGTAAAGGGGAAGAGCTTAGTTTATAACCTGGAAAGTTTGAAGTTCATACTTTTAAAGTTCTGCTTTACATATTTTCAATAGGTTTTTAAACCCTTACTTTATGGGTCTTTTAAAAATTTAGGACCAACTTACATTCCTGAGGATGTTTCTATCTTTGAGCGTGAATGAGATGTTCTGATTTATGGTTTGGTTTATCCTCCAACTCTCAGCTGCATTTTCTTATAAAACTATTAGTAGGGTTATTGAAAAAATGACACATGGGTGATGGCAAGGCAATTGAATTAAGATCTGATAGTTAGAAGATAAGTTTAATGAAGGTATTTTTTTTTTATCATTTTTGCATCTCGCCCTTAATGGTTAACCCAGAAAATAAATGAATTATTAAACACACTGCTAATCTTTTGAAATTTCATTTTTGATTGTAACTTCCCTCATTCCTCTCACCAAACCTGTATTAAAGATTTCAGCAAATAATTTAATGGACTTGCTTCAATTTGATTTCCACTTCACTTCCTCAGTGTGCCAGCAGGTGGAGGTGCAAATCATTGGCAGAAAAACCAGAGAAAGAAACAAGAAGCTAACAGCTGGAAAACTAGTTCCCTAATAATGAACGTTGTTTGCATTTTAAGCATATTGCTGTATAACATTTTGATTTTCCTCATTTTGGGTTTTAAACTCTGTTTTATTTCCAAGTTGTTTCAGATTATTCAGAACGGAAAGCATTTAAGGATCCTGAAAGATTAAACCAGGAATCTCAAACCAGTATGAATTCTTCATCACATCATGAAAATAGCTACAGGATTGAAATTTCTTCAAAGACCCTTTACCCTCACATTTCCCAGCTGAAAAATATGAATTTCCAGCCAGAGCACTGAGAACTCAAACGATGTTATTTTCAAGTCTGTGCTTCCCAAAGTGAAGGGCTGCCAGATGTGGATGACAGAGTTCAAAACCACAGGCCAGCATTGCCACCTCCCCCTTTTCTGGACAGAATGATGAATTAAATCATCCTTCCAGGGACAGATCACCTTGACATCCCTCAGAAATAGCCACTTCATTCTGAAATATTGCATCCCATATAGACAGTTATGTTTGGGGAATATATACATTTATGTTTCTGAAAAATGTTTATAAGCCAAGTTATATGCCTCCTGGTTTTAGTATACATTTCCTTAAATTATGTCAGTGATGACCTTATATTACATGGGAAAGTTTATGAAAGAGACTGAAAAGTGATCTTTATTGCTATGAATATAATGAATGAACATATATTTTATATTCTTATTTATGAATATAAATACATATTCAGGATAGCTGTTCATTTATTTTTCTTAAAATATTTTTTTAATTGTCAATAGGCCTTTATTTTATTTATTCAGATGCAGTGCTGGGAATGCTAGGCAAGCACTCTGCCCCTGAGCCACAATCCCAGCCCTGTTCATTTACTTTTGAATATTATGCAACTCTACTTCACAATAACCTTAAGGCTGGATTAAGAATCTAGTTTCCCAACCTTAATCATAAAGCTCAAGGTGGAGGAAGAGGAAGCTGTGGATAGGCAACAGTGAGGTGTGGGGCTTTCATCTCTCTAGTCTGGCATCTAAACCAGTTGCTGAGTGCTTCATGGGGATAATGGTGGCAGATTTTGGCAACGGGTTAAAATAAAATGGGAGTGGCTGGTGACGTTTCTTAGTACTAAGCCATTTGCAGCGGCAGCCTAGTCAGAGGCTGGGGCTATTGGCAGCAGAAGTGGCAAGAACTAGAGAAAAGTTCTTATGGTTTCTGCCATTTGGGTTAGAGTTCCTAGTGGGGTTCCTCTCCTAGGTGTAAACAGGAGGCTAGAAGGAAACTGAAGTAAAAGAACAGGGGCAAAGAAGGAATTGAGCCCTGAATGCAGTGACTTGAGGGTCTTTGTGAGCAGCTGGGTCTTATTTTTGTCTGGTAGAAGCAAGGCTGGCAGTGGGATGGAGACTCTTGTCTTTTTTTTTTTTTTCTCCAAGATTGGTCCAGATTGTGGAAAGATTGGAGTCTCCACATGCAAGTCCTTAATATCAACTGGAAGACTCTGAGGTCATTAGATTCCAACAGGCAAGATCTGTGCTGCCTGATATGATAACCATTATCCACAAGTGACTGTTTAAGTTTAAATGAATTAAAATTCAATACAATGAAAAATTCAGTTCCTTAGTCACAGTATCCACATTTCAGTTGTTCAATAGCCAGACATGGCTAGAGGCCCAGAATTGGACAGAGAAGCTATAAACCATTTCCATTGTCATGGAAAGCACTGATCTGGAAGAGGCAGACTGGAGGGATGCCTCCATGGGCTGGGCTTGAGGGGAGCCATTGGCCCACAAACCTTGCTCATGTGTATGGGGGATGGTGTGGTTTTGTTTGTTCTCCACACTTCCCTGGTCCATGACAGTTAAGTCTTTTATCAGTTCATGTATTTACTTCAGAGTAGATTGGCATATTATATTATTTATAATAAAAATATAATGTAAAATCTTTGAAAAAGATAATATAAATAATTATATTATTTATAATATAAATATAATATAAAATCTTTGAAAAAGCCTAAGGATGATAATTTTCAGTAGCACAAGGTTCTCTAACCGGTAGAGAATTTCCAAAGGCTTTTCTGTGATATCCAGCGTGTTAAATTTATAATCCTCACCATTGGTCCTATAACCTTAGAGATTTTGTGGCAATAGTCATGACAGAACCTACCCGCTTAC